AGGGGGTGGGAGGAAGGCAGAGCTGACCTACCAGCAGGACGTGGCACAACGGGCAGCTGGCAGGTCCCTCTCCTCCTGCCAGAGGAAACACGCTCTGAGGAAGCCATGCTCGGGGCTGGGGGAGCCAAGGCCTTGAGCCAGGGCTTTCATGCCCACTGGGTCGAGAGGCCTGGCAGAGGCCCCAAAATATCTTCCCCCAATACTTCCAAAGCAGCTCACTCGAGGGTAGGTGCTTTATAGTGTTTTAGCTCATTTAATTCTAACAGCCCTGTGAGGCAGCCGTGTTTTATGCATTATTCTCATTTTATAGATGATGAAACTGAGGCCCGGAACTGAGGCAGTATGGCTCCAGAATCTGTACTAAACTCTGCATCTTATACACCAGGGCTTGCCAAAATTATTCTATAAAGGCAGACAGTAAATATTTTAGGTTCAAGGGCCTCATTTAGTTTCTGCTGCATATTCTTTTTCTTTATTATAATCCTTTAAAAATCATTCTAAGTTCTCAAGGCCATACAAAATAGGCCACAAATCAGATTTGACCAGTGGGTCATACTTTGCTGGCCCCTGGTATATATATAATACTAATGCTATTTACTATGGACTGTGCTATGCTATCCTGCGTCCCACATCAATGGTAATGATACTGGTAATGAGGTCCCCAACTACCTCATAGGGTTGCCAGCACATCACCCTGACACATGGTGACATATATGAGGCAGACCATGGGCAGAGGAGGAAGAGGCAAGGAAGGCCACGCCAGGGGCAAGCAGCACAGAGGAGGGGGAGGGGCACCAGCAGACAGGAAGGCCTAGGGTGAAATGATGAAAAGTTTGGGGGTTCTGAACACTTTAAACAATCCTCCTACAGTAAAACCCAGGATGCTGCCCTTGGAAAGTGAAAGACTGGCTATCCCCTTACCAGAAGGACTCACAGCAGGACATCTTTAAGTACTCTTCCAGCATTTTAGAATAGGCTCCCCACCTCCACCACCACCTCACTTAGGGCCCTTTTCAGAGGCACAGGGAAGATAGGAAGGGCTTGTGGACTCAGCAAGATGCTACTATATGGGCTATTCTCATGTAGAAGTAAGAGGAAGAATGGCCTCTCCCTGAGCTAACTGGAATACAGAACACCCAATTTCCAAAACATGTGAGTTACAGGATGCTTCCTGACGTTACAGAGGGCTCTCTGCAGTGTGCCTGCCACTTGCCAGGCCCTTGAGGACACTGAAATCTCATTTGATTGATCCAGATCTGCTTCAGTGGCCCTGGCAGAGCCTTGGGTGGAGAGCCTGGAGTTACAGAGGGATTCCCTAGCCTCTTAGAGTTCAGGCCCCCTGCTCATGGCAGATTTGTCCGGATCCAGTCTGTGACAAGTGATGGAGCTCACAGCCTACTGCACTTGCGTCAGCCTAAAAGCCCTGCAGACAACGGAACCTCAGGACTGGCAGGGTCCCTGGCACAGGCTAGACACAATACTGAAATCTGTTCAGGCCTTGTGGCACCTGCCTGAGCTGTGTGGCAACCTGTGGTGCTGGGACTACAGCCCAACAATAGGAAGGGGGCAGCATTTCTGCTGGAGGGTGTTGCCAAGGAGAGGCAAACACCCGAGCATGTGTGGTACAGCTTTTTGATTGCCCCCGAACCATAGAATGAAGACTTCCCAAGCTCTCTTGCAGGTGGTTGTGGCCAGTGAGATGCAAGTTGAAAGGTTCTGTAATAGCTTGTGGTACCCTGCTTTCAAAGACAGATGCCATGTACATTTCACCCCTTCTTCTTTGTCCCTTCATTCATCTTGTCACTGGGAATGTGGATGTGATGGCTGGAGCTCTAGGCTGCCCTGCCATCCCATACCATGAGGACAAAGGCTGCAACCTAGAGATGGTGCTTCTCAGGTTCACACAAATGTTACCTTAATTCCCACTACAACCCCCTGAAGTGTTATTAACTAGGCTCAGAGAGGTGAAATAACTTGTCCACAGTCGCATGGCCATTCTAGTTAGGACTAGAATCCCGGAATCTCAAGTCTCAGGCTTCTTCGCTAGTCCAAACCATGTGAAAATGGTAATAAAATCGCAGACTACTCTTAGTGTATGCCAGGCCCTGTGATAAGCACTTCTTAAGTATTAATTCACTGAATCCTTACAACAAGCCTGTGAGGCACAATCTGACATTACCCCCATTTTCTAGAGAGGTGCCGTGAACTGTGTAAGATAACACAGCTGGTAAGAAGTCAGGCCAAGCAGTCTGACTCCAGGACCTCTTCTGTTAATATACTGTCCTCTCCAGCAAAATCCCTGCTCCTCAGGTAATTAAAGAAAGGTACACAGTAATGGCCCACCTGTGCGGGGACAAGATCAGCGATGGAAGGCAAGAGCTGTAGCCGATGAGAGAAGTCCTCTGCAG